TTTTTTTTCTCTCGCAATTGTTGTTGATGTTTACTGAATCCCGACAGGCACGTGCTGTATCCACTGATGGACTGAGGCCAAGTTTCTTCACAATTAACGCGGTCGTATACGTGGTTCAGGTGAAACCTACTTTCTATGTGGCCCTTGTAATATTTGAGAAATTTGCAAAGTTCAAAATTAACCTTTAACTTGGTGGAACCATGGGCCTGAGCTTGTTCTTAGATTGCCTCGCTATCAATTGTGTCTTATTGACGTGGCTTCCCCATTTTTAATCTTTCGTGTGAATGTATTTATCCCAGATTGCTCTGTGGTTGGTATTGTGGTGGAAGCCTGTTCAAGTTATGGTAATCGTTTCTAAGATGTTCTTTGCAGGTATAGTTGAAGTTTAATTCATCCATGCACAGAGATAGATTATCTTCTTTTTCTTCTTTTTCTGTGCTCCATGTCTCAACTCTTGTGAATGTGTATTGCAGGTGTTTCACTGTTCGCGGCCCTTGGCTTTTTACTCTACGGAGGAAGGTAACTCTTTTGCCACTTGCATATGCTACACCATGCTGGTAGCTTCGTTTATATTCTTGTTACCTGCTACCACTTTTTTTTTCCTGCCACAAATGAGTTCGATGTTGATATCATTTTGAAAACCCGGCATGCCAGAACCTCAACCTGAAAGTTACTAGTTTCATAGCTGAGGCTTCTCTTCCCGAGAACAATATGAAACTTGCACTGATGTTCATTGTCTATCGTACCCGGTTGATCACTTTTTTCCGGATATTATTTTGCAGAATTAGTAAATCTGCTATTTTTCTTAAAATGATATTCTGGCACTTGTGCTACATGAGTGTTAACCATTGAGTGATTGGGTTGAGATTCTTGCCCTCATCCGATTCCTGGCTAGTCTAGATCCTATTTGTGACATGGCAGGCTTTATCTATATGCTATTACTGTTGTGAAGGCAATGTCTTATGAAGTGGCCTTAATTTATCGTCTTTGATGACTGTTTGGCAGGCTCTTCCTGATGCTGCAACGGTTTCCGGTAGAATCTAAAGGGCGGCGCAAGAAGCTGCAAGAGGTAAAACTCGAATTGTAAACCAAATTTTAGCAGATCAAGTTTCATTTTTGTTTCTTTTATCTCAACCCGTCTTCCTGTGTGTGTATTGCAGGTCGGTTATGTGACAACCATTTGCTTTACGTGCTTCCTCGTGAGATGTATCATGGTAACACACACATACTTCATAATACTGACCTAAATAGATAGTTTCTTGTTGCTTGAGTTCTCTTTGCTAGTGGTCAATTTCCCGAAGCTACAACTAACCAAAGCTTTCGTTTCATTATCTGTTAATGGTCTAGATGTGCTTTGACGCATTCGACGATGCAGCAGATCTTGATGTCTTGGATCACCCCATCCTAAACTTCATATATTACCTAGTAAGCTCACTCACTATTCATCTGTTGAGCTATCATGGATGTGTATATATATGCTGTTATGGATCTTCTTATAATCTAAATATGAAACTTCTACTGGAAAGAAACTCTAAAATAAAGTTGTTTGTCTTGTTCACTTACCAGTTGGTGGAGATATTGCCTTCTACTCTGGTCCTCTTTATCCTAAGAAAGCTTCCACCAAAACGCGGTATCACACAGTACCATCAAATCCAATGAGTCAAGGAGATAGGTTCAGAAAATCGAAACACCGAGGTAGCCACGGTTGATTTTCTGGGTAACACAATAACGGAGATAAGATAAGAAGCAGCTGAAAAAAAGGGTCGAAAGATATGTCTTTTTTCTTTTAGTTAAACTCGGGAGTTAACATCGTGTAGGGGGATCTTGTTCCTTGTCAGAGAAAAAAAAAAATGTACATGTAAGGGAGTTGCAGAGAACAATGGTTTGTGGTTTCTTTTTAACTAATTCAATGTGGTTAATTAGTATATACTAATTCAACGTAGTTTGGTATGATAATGATTAGAATTCATACCTCCTTTGATTTGGTATTGAGATTTCCAACTTATGGTTATGACTTTGATGTTTCGATGACCATATATATATATGGATCTTGGAGCTTGGCTGGTCTTTAAAGAAGAAGAAAACTCGTTTTTGACCGGTTGGTCATGTTTCTACCGGTCTTTTCCAATATGTATTGAAAGTAAGGTAATATTTGGCCCAATTAGTGCCATTGTATTATTTAAAATGTGGTCGATCAATTAAGTTAATTAAATTAGAAAATCTGCACTAAATTCCTATGATTGTGAAATCAAATTAGAGATTTACCATTGGTCAATTATGTAATCAATATCTTCTTATGATATTTCTAGTTCAAACATTTTGTTGTTCTTGTCCAGGAAAAGAAAAAACTTTTTTGTTTGTAATACGAATAAATTAGAGACAGACGCAGCTCAGCAGAAACCATGAATCTCGACACTAATCAGAAATAGGAAGTAGAATCAGAGACGTCTTCTTCCTTTATTAAACTCTTTTTTTGGTCATCTAATTAGCACCGTCGGATCAATAAATAACAAAAAGCCAACCGATCCAACGACTCATAACTTGTCTCTATCACGCTTCTCGATAAAAACGACGGTCCGAAATAAAAGGACAAAACTGTCATTTTAAGTTAGGAGGCACCACGTCATGTGGAGCCCACTAAGTTTGCTTTTTTTCATGCGGATCTACTCAAAGGGTCATGTTCATCACACGTGTAATATATTTATTTCTTTTTTGTTTTTCACAGTAGAAACATAGTACTAGTA